GCTGTGGTTGATTGAACTGCTTACATTTTTTCCAAACATCTTCAACATGTAGCATGACTTTTATCATAGCCCACTTACATAATTGCCTAATAAGAGACATGCTACTAGGTGTACACAAAATACACACTCCATTTCAATCAACTTTGTGTTATATTAAAATATAAAAAAAGGCACACCTTTGGACAATATGTGGATTTTTTCACTAAATTTGGCAATCAATCTATAGTTTTTTTTAGACTTTCTTATCACATAACCCTTATGACAAAATTGGTAGTTTTAACTTAAAGTTTATATGTCGTCTAGATTAAATACTTCAAATCCTTAAGATCGTGTCCCCCGTCCAATCTACACAGTTGATACCTTTTCCAAGTGGGTAAGTTACGAACAAACAGTTCTCAAGATATGATACTAGTACTGTGGCAGCTAAATTGAGCACTAGCAACATGAATCCTAGATACCTAGACACCAAAATTATTTCTTTTGTGTGTGTGGCAGCTAAACTTGGACGATTGATGGACCTCGCAAACGGAAGAGCACCAAAGGTCAGAAAGCCCGTTTATTTTTGTTGTCGATCGTTTGCATATTGTATTGATAGTTCATCCTAGAGCAAAAGTCCAGTAATTTACCAAAACATATCGATCCAATTAGAAATAGATCATATAATGGAACGAAGAAACGAAATAAAGAAAATAAGGCAAGGAATAATAATCCAAGGCAGCCCAGAAGGCTGAGTCAGAGATAACTAAAGACGAGCCGGAAGGGGGCTCCCTCTCACCTTTCTCCTTCGCGCCGTCGTCCCTCCGTTCGAGGTGGCCGGCCCCGCCATGATCTCGATCTGAAGCACGCGGCCGGAGAAGTTGCTGGAGTCGAATGCGAACTCGAAGCTGTGGTCGCCGCCGGGGAAGGCCTGGTCAGGATCCATGCCTATCGTCGCTGTGACTCGGTTCTCCAGGAGATCGGCGCCGCCTCAAGGCCGCGACCGAGAAGGGATAAAGAAACGGCGGACCGAGAGAGAGACGCCGAGCCCTCGTTTTAAACGTAGGGGAGGAGTATAAATTATTATTATGTTAGATAATTCGAGAATTAAGTAGCTAATGCTTAACTAATTAATATCATTTAATCTAATGATCGTTGTAAACAACGGAATAATAACCATAGATTATAGCAGGTGGTTTCTTTTTGAACCTAATAAGTTCTCCACGTGTAAGTCTCAACCGCCGCGTTTACCTGTTTTGTAATTGGAGAAATACTGGGACCCACTAGTAGTATATATATATATATATGTGCGTGTATTTAGCATCCAAAACTAACAGATGAATATGATTATATATCAAAATTAGTGAGGAGATGGGATGATATTAACAGTAATATGGTAGTATGCATCACCAAATCATAGCTTCTATACACGTAGAGTTATTCTGTACACTTCAACTGGATCAAAAGCAAATGATAGAGTTGGTGACTGGCTTCCGGCTCTTCTGCAGCATGCAGGATGACGCAAGAACCCTAATGCAGAAATAGTTGAGTTGTTGATGTTGTTGAAACTGCAACAAATAAATGGACGAAGCCAATCTCTTCTACTTCACGAGACCTGTCAAATTATGGTGCCAAAGCTAGCAACTACTGTAGCTGTACGTGCATCATTTATATCCGATAATATTCTTCTCAAAACATTAACGTGTACATGTATTAGCTTTGAAACTAGTAGAACAGTTGCTATTGCCAATGTTTCCATCAATTGAAGTGTAAGTTTACTCTTCATCTATCTTTATTGAACTTCTACTTTGTATACGTGCATATGTTCGAGTGTTTACAACATACTTCTTCATATATCTTTCCCGGCAATCTTTATGATGTGAGATGATGCTGAAAGATAGCAGCATAGTTCAGTAGCATGAACTCTATCTAGAGAGAGAGAGAGAGAGAGAGAGAGAGAGAGAGAGAGAGAGAGAGAGAGAGAGAGAGAGAGGAGCTCCCTTCAATCCAAGCATGAGAAGAAGGAAGGAAGGTCGTCTCCTGGCGCATGCTCACCACTGTGGTGCAGGGAGTTGCACCCCAAAGGTATGCATGAACCAGCAGCCGGATGTGCCCTCTTCCCCTCGTAGATTGGACTGAAGAGAGCTCCTTGAACTTCCCATATACCTTCACCCACCACTCCAAGTGCTCCTCCGAGAGCTTGTGTCCGAAGAATAAGGTGCGGCGATGATGGCCTTAAATAGGCTCCAAATCGGGAAGATGGCGACAGGTAATGATCTAACGCCAACTGTAGCCTGATGCGGGCTGCCATGGAGGAGGCCGGAGGAGAAATGCATCTCTCGGTTGTCGAGCTCGTAGTCACGTGAATTTGGATTTATATATTGGGGAAAGCGAGGGGGCATCTTGCTGTAGTTCTCTTTCCGTAGCTTGTCTTTGTCATCTAATAATGGGAATCTCATGCACAGGTTGGGCTCCCGACTTGCTTTGGCATCTCCCTTCTGCACCTGCACACCATCTTTGTTCGAGCTTTGGTTGGCAGAAGGGCAGCATCTTCGTTAGCTTTTATCGTGAGGGCTTTTGGAGGGAGAATGAGCAAGTGATCGGATTAAAGAAATGGGAACTCAGGCTTGATGATGAAGCTGCTGCATCATTTCTGACGCTTGTGATGTTTGAGTGTGCGAGGACCCTTCTCTTCTCTAACTATGCACACTCTCATTCGACATGATCACATCCTGATGACGCAGACATGCATGTCGACTTCTACAGTCAAATCAACGATCATGTTCTTCCCTTGCTATAGCCCTCTTGGTGCAAAAGAATGATTCTTCCTGCACCATCACAACCTGCAAATGCCAATAATAAACGAACATATATTCAAAGGCAAGTAGATAAGCAGATTACTTTATGGATGGAAAGTCGGATCGCCAGGAGGCCTCCAAGAAAAGTTCATTCTTAGCATGGAAGCAATCACCAAACAATACTTGTTTTCAGTTACCAAGAAGAAGCATATATCCCCACCATATATAAGTAAGAAAAACTTGCTTTGGTTTATAACTAGGAAGCTTCATCAAGGAGAGACCTAATTTGATGTTGATATATAGCTCATAGTGTTTGGTCGTTTTCTCATTATGGAGATAGTTCAGACATATTCCTCCTCATTTGGGGTGTGCTTTATTTGTAGATCAGTTGCGTATATGATGCATTATTAACCTCAATGCATTATCAAGTTACAAGTGCTATGGGAATAAATGCTTTGCTATTTGATAAGATTAAACCTGACTAGTTAAATGTTAAGAACATCAAGTGATCATGAAGATCTAACCACTGAACAAATGGTTAAATGGTGTATCAAGTAAAGTAATATATGTCTGGAACATATTCTTCTTCTTCATGCTCATCCTCTCCTGGAACCTCAATTTTACAAGGTGTCATTCTCATTCTGTTCTCTTTTCCACTATTAAACTTGAATGCATTTCTTTTTCATTGCCTAATATTCATCGGATGAGTAAGTTTAACATGGAGGCACTAAAAAATTGAGATGAAGAAGGTGGTGATAAAGTTGATGAGGTTGTCGAAGGAGAAGGAAAAGAAAATATTGCATCTAATAATTATATTTGATGTCTTTTTTTTTTTTTACATGAAAATGGAAACATGATAAATTATCAAAAAGAGTTCCAAAATAGCCAATTCCAGCAGAAATCAGTGATAAGATTGTAGCCAAACTAATTCACATGTATTAACTTGCTAAGGTGTTACTTATTGCAGGATTGGTTTCAGATTCTATCTCCTCAACACTTCCAAGCCAAAGCGAACAAGAGCTGATCCGTGAAGAAGTAAGTACTCAAGCCAAATCTAGCTGGTCTTCTTGCATCCTCGCAGGCCAAGAACCCAACATCACCAGAGTAGATATGAACCTTACTGAAAGAGGGCTAATATTATATGTATTAGAAATCCATTAACGATAAGTTCGAGCCAAATTAATCAGAGTTAACATATATTAGATCGGACACTAATCTAACCAAAATTTTAAATTAATAGGTTATGAGCCAAATTTAGTCATCTTTTTCGATCTCTTCTCACATATGAATATTTTCTGATAATATGAAACACATGGGCATGTGATGGGTAAGGTTGTGGTCAAGAAATAGAATAGAGTAGATTATATTATATTATGATACAACCTTTTAGTTTGATCTCTGTGAGGATTCTGGTGGATCAAGATCAGGTGAAACCTGCTGCTACTTCCATTGTTGAACATACTCCTGAACTCAGTGCAGTTCCATTGTTGACCTCTATAGCTTCTACAAAGTTTGGGTTACAGTTCCACCTTACCACATATTTTTCGAAGCAGATGCATCGCCAACTGGGTTTTCCTATCAAGTCACAAGGATTCATTGGACTAGTCTTGCTTTGGCAATGCATGCCTTTGTGTCTTTCTAGCAATATATATAGATAGGTGGCAGCAAACAGGTAGCATGCCACATTGTGGTCTGACCACCTGCAGAAATAACACAAGCAGATTTCTTGCAGTTCTTTGAACACTACATTCTAATATTGCATCAAGCTCTTAGCTTTTACTTAAAATCTCCTTTTCCTACACTATGTTATACAGTTTCTACTTAGTTTTAGTGTGCTATTAGCCCAGCTCTTGACTAATGCTGGCATGTATAGTGGCAGTGCTCCCTCTATTGCTGACATTTTTTGAACTAGTCATAACAATATGTTTAAGGAATGCAACAGAGTTGGGTTAATCCTTTACCAATATCAGACAGCACAAGCTGAGTAATATTTTCTTAATGTAAGACTTGTGGTATTCAAGTTCTACAAGTATGAGTTATTGTTACTGTCCACAAGGCCAAGCCTGGGCCAATTGCCTGGATCAAGAGCCATCATATGGAACATATGTCATCCAGACTCAAGAACAAGATAATGCCATTAAGAATGCTGTCTTTTTCATGTACAATACAGTCATACAAGGCCCCATTCATACCAACAGTTACCTTCGTGTTTGATCTCTACCTTTTTTTTATGTATTGAAAATTAATTCTTAGTAGTTATCTAGGTAGTTATCATGTTATAGGTAATAATAAGCATGTTTTAAGAAGTGGCCCAAGATCTAAAAGTTATAAAGTAGTTTATACACCTAACTCAATCATAGGTGATATGGTAGCTAGTTACCACTAGGTCCTATAAATAGGACTAGTTTATAAAGCAAGATAAGGAATATGCACTTAGAAATATCTCGTAGTTCTTGTCTTACCTCTTATTTAAATACTACAATGGTTTTCTTGATTGAAAATATTTTTTTTAATTGTATTGTAGTATTCTGTTTTTATCATTTTCTTATTCCTCCATCCTCAATATTTATGGCATCAGAGCTAAGTTTCAATCTGAACAGGGTATTATGGCTTTAAATGGTAATTCCATGTCTCAACCCCTTATTCTCATCTTCTCAAGCAAATGCTATGAATTTTGGAGTATCAAGATGAAGACTCTATTCAAGTCTTAGGATCTTTAGGGACTTAATAGAGAATGGATATGCAAATCTGGATGAAGAAATCAGGCTGAGGGAGAATAAAAAGGAAGACTCAAAAGCATTGTTCTTCATTCAATAAGCTGTACATGAAACAATCTTCTTAAGAATTACAGCAGCGACAATCTCAAAGCAAGCTTAGTTGATACTTCAAAATAAATTTCAAGGCTCATCAAGGGTGATTACGGTAAAACTTCAAACCCTTCGTTGTGAATTTAAAATTTTGTTCATGAAAAGCAATGAATCGGTGAAAGATTTTCTTTCTCGAGTGACTGAAATTGTTAGTCAAATGAAATCTTATGATGAACATCTTTCTGATCATATAATTATTGTAAAAGTTTTGAGAAGTTTAATTTCGAAATTTGATCATGTTGTTGCCGCAATTGAGGAGTCAAAATATTTATCTATATTTTTATTTGATGAACTAATGGGTTCCTTGCAAGCTCATGAAGCAAGGTTGAATAAGTCATTTGAGAAAAGTAAAGAAAAAATATT